AATACAGCTCCTCAGACTGAGGAAGTCTCTCGGATGAGAGACGAAACGTTTCTACATTTTTTTTGTTGATTTGCTTTGTTTTTTGTTTTTTTTTTAATGTCCAGAGGACCAGATTTAACTTTTTTAGATTTTTCTACCTGGATTATTGAGCATGCATCAGGATAAAAATTGTAGTGTTCAATATTTTCCATGTCAGAATAAATGAAATCGTCTGATCTCAGAAAATTGGATATAAATATGGGGAAAAACATAAATTAGTCGCTTCAGACTATAAGTCGCAAGATTTGCTAATTTATATAAAAAGATGTGACTTATAGTCCAAAAAGTACAGTAAAAGAAGACGTCTTTTTGAAGAGAGACCGTCCATCATTAAACAAGGGAGGAGGCCTCCGTGTCCAATCGTCATCTTCTTTCAATGCTGCAGTATCACTCAGTCCTCTGTGAATAGCAAGCGGCCGTCAGGGCACTAACGATTAGTCGTTAGGCTGATGGTCCTCCTTGATCATGTGAACAGCTAGTTCTGGATGTCAACAACAAACTGGTTGATCCACTCTGAGAAGAGGAACTTTATAAGACTGAGCGCATCTCCTCAGACCGATGAAGTCTTTTGGATTAAAGATTAAACGTTTCAGCAAATTTTTTATTTTATTTATTTTTCTTTTCTGTCCAGAGGACTTGACTTAACTTTGTTAGGTACAGATTAATGTTTACTTGGAATAAGGGTTGCAAGCTCAATCATCCAGGTAGATGACAACAAAAAAGGTTAAATCGTGTCATCTGGACCAGTTTCTTTAAGTGAGAAACATTTCATCCAGAGGACTTCCTTGGAATTTTTACTTGGAATCTCATTTCCCCTCTCCTCAGATATTACAACTGCTCCACTCCGGGGGTGCTGGCCTGTGGCGTCCCTGTAACGTGCTGCGTAGACCCCATGGAGAACGGCACGGTGTGGAACTCGCAGTGCGGCGTGGGAGCCCAGCGGCTGGACGAGTTCACGGCTCAGAGCGTGGTCTTCCTGGGTGGGTGTTTGGGGGGGATCTCTCGCTGGATCAAGCAGCACGAGGGCCTGATAGGGACAGTCGGAGTGGTTGTGGTCGGAGTCGAGATTCTAGCCGTGTTCATCACCACACGCCTGCTAGAAAGCATCCACTGGAAGAGTTTTCTGTATTGGGCGGAGTAATGAACAGCAGAACGTATTGTAATGATTTAAAGTTGTTCATGTTCATTCACTTCCTGTATTTATTGTTGTTAAGTTTCACTTTAATGACTTTTTAAAGAAAAACAAGCAAAAAAAATTGTATACAAACTGTCAAGGGAATAAAACGAACAAAATATAATCGCATATATTTTTTTTATTCTTTCTTATAAGGCCATTCTCACAAGTTGATTAGAAAAACAAATAATCTTTAGGATTTTACACCAAAGTTGCTGTTCAGCTGCTGACAAAACCACAAAAATCTGTAGACCTCTGCAGCAGTTCAACCAATAAAAAGTTGTTTATGTGCAATTATGATTTATTTGCACCTTTGTAAACAAAACTTTGTTCATAACTTTACCTGCTTATTCCTGTTCAGGGTTGTGCTGCTGTCTTTAGCTCCCATTGGATCATCTGTCCAACAGAGATGAACGGGTCACACATCCATTCGTGCACTCACTCTCTCACACATTGTAACAAGTTAGAGCTGTCCTTTAACTGGTTCACAACTGGATGGATTTACTGTCATTTACGGACTATTGAGTGCACCTGAACATAAGCCACGCCCACTAAATTTAACATGGAACAGAAGTGAGTTTTTCACATTGCACTCTTCTGAAAATGAAAAATAAAATTGTAAAATGGTTACATTTTTATAGCTACAGTAATATTTGCCTTTTAAGACAAATTGATCCACAAAAGTGAAAATATGAATTACTAACGTGACTCAGTTCTTTGTACAAATGGACTATTTTACAATTTTGGCTCAAAAAGAACAAATATAAGATAAGATAAGATAAGATAAGATAAGATCAGATAAGATAAGATAAGATAAGATAAGATGAGATAAGATCAGATAAGATAAGATAAGATAAGATAAGATAAGATAAGATCAGATCAGATCAGATCAGATAAGATAAGATCAGATAAGATCAGATCAGATCAGATCAGATCAGATCAGATCAGATAAGATAAGATAAGATAAGATAAGATAAGATAAGATAAGATAAGATAAGATAAGATAAGATAATTGTAGAAATGCGCCACTCGGGGGGGGCTGCATGTTGGAGCAGCTCTGTTACATTCATTTTGAGTTATTGCTTGTGAAAACTTTAACTCCTTTATTTTCTAGATGTAAATTGCTTCTTTCAGATGATTGTTTCCTCTGGTATCAGATGCTGTGCAGCTGGAAGGATTTTTACTGAAACCTTTTAACTTTTGGGCATTTGTCATGATGAGTAACCATGACAACAAGGTGTTTTTAACAACCAGGAGCAGCTGATTAACGTATCAAAAGCTCAAATACCTCAACTACAGCCCCAAACATCAAATGAGTTGAAAAGGAGGTGCCGTGGACCATTTCCCGTCAACCTGGCGGCAATGCTCGAGTACTGTACCTGACCGCCAAAATCCTGGAGCTGGTGGAAAACTCGGCTCGTGACAATGGGAGGACCGGAATCATCCCCCGACACCTTCAACTGTCTGTCTGTGGCAACGAGGAGATGTTATTTTGTTTACTGTACTCACAGGCAACTTGCCCTTTTTATGTAAAGACATTTCAGTTCAGAACAGCTGATTTGTTCTACAAAGTAAATCAAATGGTGGAAATTGTCCATTTGCTTTCTTTTCTATTAGCTTTGCAACTGAATGAAAGCAGAACCAGCTGTTTGTTTCAAATATGGTGGATTTGAAACTGGTTGATTACATGGAGGCTGTAAGAGGCTTGAAACCTCAAATCCAAACTGAACTTTATTTTAATAAATGAAGTTGATGAAACAAACACAGTTTCTGCACAGGATGTGACCTTACTTTTCGTTAGGTCATGTTATCATCTGTCAGCTCAAGCACAAGGAGAACCTTCTGTAGAAAAAGTTAAAGACTTCAGATATATAAAATGTATTGAACAAACAAAACCGTGGTTTAAATCAGCTTTAAGAGGATTAGGGTTTGCCTTCTGGTTGATTGCTAGAAGCAGAGGGAAATGTTCAGAGTTTGCACGCATAAAAGGAAGCAAAGAGTTTTTAAAAACTCAAAACTTTATTGTGATTTACTGAAGTATAAAAACGCAGAGCCGTGCAGGACCTCCTGCTGGTCAGTAACCAAACTCCCAGTTCCAGCTCCCTCTGCAGCCTCAGGCAGCAACAACGTAACATGAAAATGGCAGCTTGAGAGTCTAATGAAAATAGATTTAATATCTTACAAAACAGCTATAGACCTATAGACAAACATCCACAACTTGCAAACATGTATTACATGAAGACGTATAATTTTAGTGTGGTCTTTGCCATCTAAAAGTGTCCTGCGTCGATTACAGCTGTATCAATAAAAAACTAATAATTTCACAATAAAGAATTTCAAATGATGCCGTACTGAGCTAGCTCATGTAGCTCTAGATGACTGTATGCTTCCCACGGGCAGATCACTGTGATGTCTAAAAGGAAATGAGGAAAAAAAAAAACTTTAAATAGTTTCACAATATTTAGATTTTCGAGGTTGGACGTTAAAATTATACTTACCAGTACCGAGTCCTTCCATTCCGGGGATTTCTTCCCCAAAACTAGCAATAAAATAAAAACTACAAGCGTTAATGCTTTAGTTAAACCACTTGAATGCATCGTATTTGCTGATAAACGTTGTATGAAAATGCATTTGAGAGCAGCTTACCCGATGACCCCCCTCTTGGGGGGCTTGCTCTTGAACTGGCGGGTGCTCCTCTGCTTGAATTTCGGGGGGCCCTTGTGTGGAGAACCAGGAGCTGCGGCTCTGAGGGGAGCTTTGCCGCCAGTTTTTGCTTCAGCTTTTGGTACTTGCAGATTCATACCTCTGTTGGTTAACACGTTCAAAATATTAAAAATGAAGATGGTCTGTTTCCCTTTGCTCTGTGGAGTAATATCTAATATAAAGTAGTACATTAATTTTCTTGTACTTGCACTTCTAATCAAATTAAACAACGAGCTGCAGGAGCATATAATCTCATGCTCACGTTACTAAACAACTCCTCACGATGCTTCTAATCCTCAAAATCTCATCATAATCAGATTACTAAGGACATGCTGAACTCCCTTGTGAATTTATCATAAATACACCACAAGAAACTTAGACTTTAGTTGTTTTAAAGAGACGTATCTGTTGAATGAAACTTTGTTCTCAAACAAATAAACCTCATAAAGAGAAAGACGTGTTCAAACTATAAAATCTGGGTTTTAATCAGAGGAATTGGGCAGAATCTAAGCTGAATGTGAAGTTAAAGATGCAAGTATAGGATGAAGGTGGCCCATTAAAAACAGCTATAAAAATGAACTTTACAATTACAATACAACAACTTGATGGTTTTATGAGACAAAAACATAAAGTAAATAAAGAAGCAGCAATTTAGGCAAGATTAAAAAATGTCATTTGTTTAGGGATGAATGATAGAATGGCAAATGACCAGTTAAATGAAATAGCATTTAAATTAAATGGCTATAAGAGACACCAGAGTCTGTTCCTTGTCCTTTATTGGTCATATTTTTTATTTCTTATTTCAAAATCTTCCGAAATTGATGAAATAGCTTCTAACTGTTTGCAAATACATAAATAAAAATTTAAAAAATAATGATTATTTTATGAAAATAAATTAAAATAAATGATAAAATGCACAAATTATGTATTTTCAGCCCCCAAATTTCTCTAAATCACATTTCCAAGTTCCCTCTGAAGTTGGAAAACCGCCAGCAACTCGTCCATGCTGCGTTTAGAACTGGTCAAAGCGTGTCCAAAATGCACAGCTGCATCTCCTCAGTCAGAAGCAGCAATAAACGGTTGTTGTTGCAGATACTCACCGTCTGCGCTCTTCCTCGCAGAGCTGCAGCGTTCTCTAAATGTCACCCGATGAGTCGTCTTAGTGGAGCCCTTTTATTCAGACCGTGAGAAGATTATGATGCAATCAAGAGCCAATAAACTGCTGTCATCCCTTGTACTTATCAATCATTTTAGTAAATGGACAGTTCATGAGGAAGGTTGAAAGAAGACGTGAGTCCTCTGCTCCTGAGGTTGATCTGCATGGAAACTTAACAGCAGAGACAAACACATTTATTACAGAGAAACAACTAAAAGCAGACTTTTAAAGTCTGTGGCGTTCAGTGTTGCTTTCTTCAAAGATGTGCCACAAATCTCATCATTTTCCTCCTGAATCTAAAACACAACTCCTGCACTTGACAACACACGAGCATCATCTGTGTGTTCTCCTTCCATCAGCAGTCTATCAGACTGAGCTGCATTAATGCTGCTGATCCATTCCATCCTCCTGCACACTTATAAACACACACCTGATCCATGCATGTGATGGTAGAGAGGAGCTCGTCTCTGTAACCTGTAATCAATCACCTGCAGGCATGCAGTGATTAAACCTGTCTCGTGTTCTTGAATTTACTGATTCTGTAAATAGTTTCTGAATATAAAGGTAAAAAAGGTTGGGATGACAGATGTGCGCTAGAACAGCTGCATTATAAAATGAAAGAGGTAATATACGTTACAAAGGGTTTTCAAAGACAAAAAAAAAAATCCAGCCTGTCTGTTGTTCCAAATATTAAAAGTTGTCTGAAACTAAAATTCTTGTTTGAGCAGATTCACCCCTTTGCACAATTTGAAGTTAACAAATTTGACCATTTGGTGAAAGACAGTGTTCCTGTGACTGATCAGGACATTGTTTCATGTTCCATTTTACTTCATCGGTATTTTATTTTGCTGTCTTTTTAAAATATTTAATAAAGTTTGATGTCTTCTCAGTGTATGAGCTGTCACACCAAATCAGTCCAGTCCAAAGTCACTCAGCTCTGATTAGTTGTCTGATTCTAAGTCCATAAATTCAGTCATGTTTTCTAGACTACATAAACATAAACACATTTAACAAAATAGTATAAATGCATATGTATGTGCCCTGGCTTTTAATATTTGTTTTAATGTGTTTGCCATTCTGTTTAATGCACATCTGCGTTCTATGCTTTGAAATTTTCTATGTGCATTTTGATCATGTATTTTGTCATGCTGGCTTTCTACTTTTGCTTAAATACATTTTATATATTTTTCTTCTTGTTTTTTTTTTCTGCCTCTCCCTTAATTTTGATCAGTGCTGCTACTACACTTATTTTTGCGTTTGTGCTCCATAAAAATCTGCTCGTTTTTTTTTTTTTTTTTTTTTTCTGAGCAGAAATAAAACCTGAACCTTACAATTGTGTTTTGTCTCCATCTAGCGGTAATATTGAAAAATTACAAAATAGTTTCGTCGTAAAAATAAATAAATAAAAATAAAAGATCGTCTATAGTTAAGAAACACCGCTCGGAAAAAAAAATCAGACTTTCAAGAATGAGGTATTACATTTATTCCGTACAGTATGTTTGTTCACTACAAAAAAAAAAAAATAAATAAAAATTCCAGATTTTCTTCAAATTGTAACGTTGTAAAATATAATAATAACAAAATAAATGGATGTCGTCAACATTCAGTTCTAGACAATAATGTCAGAGTGAGACTTCTTCTTTTAATCGTCACTTCCGGTTAAAGTTCGGAACGGAAGTTGAAGTTTACGCACTGTTCCACGTGTGATAATGTTTTGAATTTAACAAGGTGTCATGGGGAAAAATAGGAAGAATCAAGTTAACAGGCCAGATAACCAAGTGGACAAGGTCGGACGAAACCAGAGGTAACGTGAGGAAGCTAACGTAAAACAATAAAATGCTAAGTTAGCTAGCTAGCAGCTTTAGCTACTTAGCGCTCGTGGTCAGTCAAAAGCCATACATGACAGTTTGCGGTGAAATGCCTCCCTTTATTAACTTTTTTTTTTAATTATTATATGTGATATTTTAGTAAAAAGAAGCAGAAAAGAGATGGCAAACCCAAGAAACCAGAGGACCACCTCCAACACATTCCTTTCAGGCTTCGAGAGATGATGAAGAGCAAGGAAAAAATGAAAGCAGGAGCCAAAACGCTCAGAACAGGTGAGCAGAAATCTTTCCAGACGCCTATGAACCTCTGGCTTTGTTTATAATAGTATCAAACCTGGTATGTTTGTAACTTTACAGCCACCTCCCCTCACCATACACAATATGGTGCCCCAGATGGAGACATCCCTGTCCCACATTTCAGAAGAGGAAAACATGAAAGTGTAGGCTCATATGTCAGTCGCATGGAGACCGAGACAAAACACGTCTTATTCCTCACAAAGAACCAAGTGGACAGAAAGCCTGAGCTTGATGCAGACGAACAGGAGAAGCTTGCAGGCAAGGAAAAGTCAGAGAAAAAGAAAGAGTGAGTATGTAGTCATTTAGTTGTTTTTATGCTGGATGTCCTTCCTAACAACCTGGGCTCAAACCTGCAGCCTCCGAGTTATGAGGCAGCAGCACTGACCACTGAGCTACCCCACCCCCATGCAGTGATTTACAGTACTAACATCATAAGAGTAAATGCTGAATTGTTAATTTAAGTTTTGTTTGAACTGTTTGATGTTTGTCTAAAGGTATGCTAAAACGAGACTGAACAAGCTGCAGCAGAAAAAGCTCGACAAACAAGAGACCAGAATGGAAAGAGAGATGTTTGTAGGTAAGGAGGATGTCCGGAAGAAGTTGTGAACACTGTGAAGCATTAACTGTGTTGCATCTACTTTATAGAACCTCTTCACTTACTCATCGTGTTTACCACAAGTTTCTGATGGTGTTTAGTGACGTCTCGTCAGAAAAGTGTCATGGTCTTGGCCATTCTGCAATTTTAACACACTGCTCTTATCCGTATAAATAAGGAGTTGTGAAGTTTACAGAAAGATAAGACAGTTGTCCCTCGCTATATTGCGGGTCACTTTTTGCACTTTCGCTGTATCACTTTTTTTTATTTTTATTTAAACCTGTTTTATTATATTGTGTGTGCTCTACATTCAGTGTTTATAAGAAAGTGGCAAAGGTTAATAAGAGAAAGGTTTAAAGGAAATGAAAGGTTTTTAAGAGTGTGGCAAGGGTTTACCTTACACCTAAATAAATAATAAAATAAATTTAACGCCGCTATTTCGCAGATTTTCCGTCATTTGTAAAAATTGGGAGGGGTGTCTTTACAAAAAGAAAGAAAAACTTTAATTAAATGATCTAATCTAATAATGATACAGGGATTAAACTGACACTGCTTTCAACAAAGAAAGTGCCACAGATTTACTCCGATAGAGAACTTTACTACCGTCATTAACTTTTAATATATATGAATGTTTCTGTGCAGCGGTGCTTCTCAATTATTTTCTGTT